ATAGACTTACCTCCACGTGGTGCACCCTGGGCAACGTATACTCATACGGCAAAAAGCTCTATTATTCGGCAGCTGACTTCTGACTTCAAACTACCACGACCCCCTGGTTGTCATATTCGACCCCTTTACAGTACTCACTTCACCTTTTTCTCTACCTTTGTGTCTGTCTGCCTCTTTACATCTGTGAATCGCTCTGCTGTTCCCCACCCCTCGACTTTCTGCTACTTTGATGAACCTTCCCTCTGTGAAGCCCGAAGTCAGCTAAATGGCTAATGATATCTATCAAAACGCCTGCCATTTGAAATAAATAAATAAATATTTATGGGGAGAAAATGAGGGATTGTTGACTACAATTTATGGTGTGATTTTTTATACCTTTCAGGATGGGAGAACAAGGAGAAGATGGTGTATCAAAGGAGGGGGGGAGGGGGGGGGTCGTGGTAAAAAAGGGGGAAAAAAGATGTGCCCCCTTCTCACTTCACCCATCCAAAGACAGCAGCACCTCCCTTTCACAAACCAGAAAAGACTTCGTTGTCGTGATCGTAAAACTCAGGAAATAAGAGCCTTGTTAATATCTACATATAATATACTCGATGCCAACCCAGATCAGAAAATGCACACGTAATGCAAAATTGTGTATGGCTTAGGCCCGTCACTTATGGTCTGTCACAGCAGCAGTAGTTAACAAAGAGTCTAGGGAGGAAATAGGGGCAAAGGGAAGATGAGACTTACTTCCGAGTTGGGAGTGGTGACGGAAGTTTTGGGGTCCCGTGGGGGGATAGCAGGAGGGGACGGAATGTCCTCATTGGCCAGATCAGTGACCGGTGGAGGGGGAGGTAGATTAAGGAGGAAACTGGCGACAGACGCCCTACCTCCTTCCTGTGGTGGGGGAAGAGGCGAAAGAGGTGGGATTGTGATGGCATCCCCACTGGAATCCATCTTTGTCAATCCCTGATGTTCCGTTTCATCATCCATTTCAAAAGACCGACGATGCTCGTGATATCGGCCCGGTTGACTGTCTGTTGAATCACCATCGGTTTGAAGGGCAAGATGCAGAGGTGTAGGTGGCGGAGGTGGGAACCAATTGGAATTGTTACATGGCGTGGGAGTTGATATTCCATCTACCGTATCATTTTCAGAAATCGGGGGTGGTACCACATCACCATTACAACTTGGTGTTGATTTCATTTCGACGGTCTGGAAATTAAAGTACAACAATGTTAGATTTAATGACTAGGTGTAACAATTCCACTGTAACAAATCCGCTTACAAACAGGATGCCAGTAGCGGTTTTCAAGGGAAGGGGAACAGTGGGAAAGAAAGCGATCTATCAATTCCTCCAAGCAAGAACCCCTTCACGACCTGGTATTGGCAGTAAGAAATTCTATCCCCCTGTTAACGTAAACGCAGGAATGCCAGACCTCCGAATTTAACGAATATGAGACTCATATTACATGAATTGCTTTAGACGTTTTGACATATGGTCAGGAGGTCCTTATTAAATGGAATAAAGTTGACCGGATGAAGATCAAAAGCTTTTATTTCATTGGCCACAACAGCCGAACCACCCTCACTCACTTGATGGTCGACTATGCAGAGAGTTGAAAGGCAACAAGAGGCTTCCGTGTGAAATGGCTTGCCTTAAAGTGACAACTTTATAACTCTGGATTTTTTTGTGCAAAACTTTCAAAGGACTAGCGACTTGCCTGTCTGAATCAGGCTAAAGAAGGCCGATTTTAAATTGACGAGAGAGAGAGAGAGAGAGAGAAAGACTATGAACACGCAAACTACGACAAAAGAGATCCGAGAAAATTCTCAATAAACACCGCCACCTTTATGCTCAAATATTTGATTTCCCATATCAATAGTTTGTCAAACAGTTAATTGGATGAAGAGCAATCCCCACCCGCTGACCTCTTTCTTTGTAGATAAGAATGGACAGAATAAATTAATTATTTAAAACATAAAAAAATGGAGAATCGCTCTCTCTTATATCTGCCGTCAAACTAAATTTCCCGAATGGAATTATTCTACATCAACGGAGATGGTTAATTGCTACAACAATACATATATACGCGCATATAGGCATTCTATTACTTGACCAGAGTCAAGTAAAAGGAGGTGTTAAAGTAGTCAGTAAGACCAGGGGCAAGACGCGACGGCCACCCCTATAATGCCTCAGCCCACACTGACACCAATGAAAACGGAGAAGACGTTATAGCTCTGCTTTGTCAACATGGCAACGTCAACACCCATTTCAAGCACTTGCGAGAGGGAGAGGAAGAGAGAGAGAGAGAGAGTCATTAGACCCGATTCCCATTAAGTTGATGCTTGTCTGACGGCCTTCGGTTCATCTAATAGCCCATTTAAAAGTCCATAGCACTTGGTGTCAATGCCTATTCGGATTTCGTCAAGGATAATAACTCTCGAACACTCATCCCACTATCAGCCATCTATCCCATTAACCGTCGTTGACTGCACATAGAAAGGTCTCAGATCAGTGGCCTCTGATGTGACAGGCATAGCACTGGGTTAAGAGTGAAACTAACCACTTTATTGACCGAATTTGCAGCCGATGAAGTGAATGTAGAGATGGTATTATTGACAGACGTAGTCACTGTGGTAGACATCCCTTTACTAGCTTCAGAATCGCAGCCATTAGAAGTAGTGGATTCATCGTCCATAACCTTGGAAGAGGTTGAAATTGTCGAGGAAGCGGAGGTGAGTGAACAAGTGCTTTCACAAGTGGCTGCACCATCTGGCGGACCACGGCCACCTTGTTGACCACCACCTGGTGGATTCTTCTCCTTCTTTGCCTCCGACTTTGTGTTGCTTTTCGTTAAGGAAGAAGCTGTTTGCAAACCGAAACGCGCCATTCGAAGATCCCAGGCGTCATCGTAGAGAGTGCCTCCACCTCCCAATTTTTGTCCCACTTTCTCCAAAACTGCTGTGCTCTCTGCAGTGGCTGCAAGGATAGAGAAGCAAGAAATGATATGAGCGAATTCTTACCCGGTTCTGTTAAGGTAGAGAGCGAGAGAGAGAGAGAGAGATAGTGAAATTTATATCTAGAAGCCTTTTTTAGAAGCTCGAAGGACGCTCACTCATAATCATACGTAGAAGATAAACAAATAGTCTGAGAAAGATGGTTTCCATAATGGGAATGAGCTGTTTAACGTTGCTAAAAGGACTCGCCTTTAAGGTATTTATTAAACCGCCGGAAAAAAAACATTTAATTTCTATGCTCGTTTAGAACTAATTTGCATTTTTTCGCTTTCTCTCAGTTTCCACACCTACCGAACTCTGTTACTTTTTGAAACATTTTTGTCAATATGACCAACCATCCAATTAAAGCTAACTTGCCAACAAGCTTGGCGAATATAGCTCGCGCATATTCGCCAAGAAACGCATGAAAAACTCCGAATCATTGGACACTGTAAGGTGATGAATTGACCCCCTCCCCATCCCTCCCTCCCATCTCTCAATGTCCCAACTCGTTGTATCATCTGAAATGATAAGCCAAGGTACTTTCAAGAGAGTTCAACTTGTTCCACTCCTGATAGGTCGCTGCAAAATAGTACCAAAGGAGTTGTATTGCAAGATGACAATGTGGATTCCAAAACCACAAGAGACCAAATAGAAAGGACGTGGAGGATACGAAAACAAATGCAGGGATGAGGGTGGGCATAATTTGGTCCAGCTTCTGAAACCTACCGAAAGACGCAACACTGCAAAGTGGAGGTGGAGGAATTGAAACTCCAAGGGAGAGAAGTTGACAATGCCAAGCATCCGCTTTTTTTTTGATATGAAGAAGAAGGGGAAAATTATCCCAATCGAGCAAAGTAGCGCATTTGGTTAGGAGAGTAAGCGAAAGCAAAGAATTTATACAAATCCTCCCAGTACTCTTGCCAATACTTAATGAAAAAAGTTTATAAACTAATGCTCAGATTATGCAGAGTGGGATTGTGAGAGAGGGGAGAGGTGGGGAGAGTGATTTTTATCACTAGGTAAAAGTGAGATTAGACATAAATCAAACAAACCCCGTACAACACGCCACCCCCCACCCCCACCCCTCCCCCCACATAACCACATTTAACTCGACGCGACACATGACAGGGAATGAGGACTTAAAAAACAGGTTCATAACACAACGTGGTGTCGTCGTCGTCGTCTGCCGACTGATGACATGAGAAGTGGTAATAGAAGCCTACCTTTTCTACCTTCAGACTTAATTGGTGACTCTCCATAAGGCCCATGTCATTAACATGATTCCATTTCAGGAAAGATCGACCCAGTTCCCCTTATGAAAGGTCTTGCAAAATAACCTAATTCGAAAAATTTTGCTCTATGTCAAGTCAAATTGATACCCGGGTTTTCCGAAAGTCCGCCCAACCGAATAAGCGCCCATGGGTTACTTGGTTCCAAAATTAGTTTCATGAAGTGGGATTTTTTGTTTAGCCGCTTTTAGGTGGATTTTTCAGGAAATCATGGTACAATTCTAACAATAGTGGGAGAGGGAGACTTGTGGTAAATAAAAGTACAATCGATTAAATAAGGTCGGTAAATATATGAGATTCAGGGGGTTAAGGTACTATGGGAATTAGCATAGAGCTATCCATCTAAGATTTACCATCAAGCAGTTTTGAGCCTTCCACAGTGGAATGGATAAGCGCAGTACTATACATGAGGAGGAAGATAATTGAATTCAGGCAGTTTAAATTTGACCAATCACTTCCTTATTCTGCCGAGGAATTACACAAACTCGACCGCCTCCTCCTCCTCCTCCTCTGGATCTTTCTTAGTTGTCCAAGTAGAAAAGTAACCAGAGGTCAATAGCTCCCCACATTCATAAAAGACAAGAAGCCCAGAGAGAGCTTCGCGGTTAATATTAGAGTGCAGGCCACCAAAATACATTCGACTAAACACCGAGCCTCAACATATACATGATTTCTGCCCAAGAGACACAGATGTTGAAAATTCATTAAGGGAGACAAGTCAAGGGGAATACACACAACACGACGGAACGCAGAATGTAGGAGGGGACGTAGGAGAATAAACGAGTTGAAATGGAGGTAGTGTATTAGTGTCATTTAAGTAGTGCAGAACCTAATGTTGCTCACCCAAACGTTACTTCATAGTGACTAAGACATGTGAGTCAGAGAATGCCAGCTTCTCTCTCTCTCTCTCCCTCCCTGAAGCTTCGCCTCTTTCAGCAGCACACAAGTAGCTTACCTTTAGGTCATTAATCAAGCAGGCTGCAACGAAGAGAGAGAGAGAGATTTAAAAAGAGAAAAATCCGAAACTTCAGTGAATTGACTTGAAGCGTGTTGCAACTTTTGGGATAGATGGTTAATTACCCCACTCCGAAATATTAAAAGTAAGGGAAAACCATCTCAGAACGCCAATTTCGGCGCTTCCATCATTTGATTTATGATATAATCAGGATGGCTCTTTGACAATGACAAATGGAATGCCCTCAATCCACGCGATCAGGAGTATAATCAAACTGAAAAGACCAACCTAATTAGAGCTCTGAATTACATTGAATTAGGAATAACTGGAGCCAATATTGGGCGATTAATTCCAGCAAAAAAATCAATTTCCTAAATAATATCCATAATTCATAATAGCTTCGTCTACTGAAACTCCCGATATGGTTCTGGACATTCAGTAGTCGATTGAACATTACGAGGCCAGGTCGTAAGACTCAATACTGCAAATAGCGCGGGTCAATACTAATGAGTAAAGCTTTTATCCAGGGTTTGTTCAGGCTCCAGGTGTTTAAATAAGAAGACTAAACGACGCAAAAACTTAAAATAAGTGTAATTTATCTTGAGGTGACAATCTCTGGCTTACTCGCCACCCCCCCCCCACCACCTCCTCCTCTAGGGGGGGGGGGGGGGTTCGATTTAACTTCACTCCGTTTGACGAAAATTTTGTGCAAAACTGACTGCTCCAATATCCTCGCTCTCTCTCTCTCTCTCTCTCATACACACACAAAGAACGAAGACTGTTAGAAGTTTTGATGAGGATTTCTGTTCTCGTACTTAAAATATTTCACAGAAAAAAATGAGGACTGAGAGAAATCGTCCAAATGTCCCAAAATCATCCCAAGTGGGCTCGACAAACAGACACACACACACAGGGAGAGAGAGAGATAGAGAGGGAGAGAGAAGCAAAATACTAGCCCAAGGCCATGGGAACACGGGAGAGAAATGGGAGGAATTCTTCCTGAGAAAAAATTACTGATCCTTAAAAGGGAACAAACTTGAATATTTTTTTCTGCGAAATTTAATCCCCTGTCTCCGTCCCCGTCCCCTCCCCTCCCTCACCCCATTCACCTATCCACCTTCACCTTGGTTACACGTTTGAGAGGAAATAATGTTTCCCTTCCAAATAAAGCAATTGCCCACTTGGTCAATGACTAATTCGTAATTGGAAAGTATTTGAAGCAGGACTACGTGATGTGGCCACTTAAGATCTAATAACAATTAGCGGAGGTTAATCAACTTTGGGCTAAGGGGGAAATCTAAATGAGCTCGGCAACATCAAACCAAAGACAATTAAGGCGCAGTAGAAGGGCACCGTCTGCATAAATAATTACCCAAATAGGATGAGGAGGAGGAGTGGGGGGGGGGTAAATGAGGAAGCGAAAAGAGGCACTTTAATTGGTTAGTGTGATCAAGCTGACGACACATTAGAACAGTAATTATAAGAATTCACAGTTTCAAGGGAGAGAAACAGATATAACCCAGTTATCAATACACATTGACTTAGAGCTCGAAATCTCCGATTCTTCTATTTAGAGAGAAAATCTCTTTTTTTTAATTGAGAGCGGCTGCAATTTTCCTCTGGTTGAATAAGACTTTTAAATGCGATCTTCCACAAATAAACAAGAGAGGTTGCTTTATTACTTGGCGGCGATCGCTACATATCTCCCACGGGAACAAACGCATTAAACGACGCTCCACTTGTCCTGACCTTTTCAGTTAAGAAGATCTGCCGGTTCGCTTCTTAGAAAGCATTAAAAGTTAAGATTTTTCGACAAAATTGTTATGGTATACGAGGTCTTAAGTGCTTCATTGCATCAAATCACAGTTTGCCCGACAGCAAGACCACATTGAACATTCCTGGTAAAAGTAGCATTCTACAAACATGTTAGACTTGAAAATGGCCGAGTGTCAGTTACAGACCGTGAATAACTGGTTCTAAGAAACGAGGAAGAGTAATATGGCTCGAAAACCTGAAATAAAATTCAACAAGAATTGACACCTTGTAGGTATTAAAATCTATTCCGAAAGAAGGAAGTAGAAGTAAAGATTAATATAACCATCTTATGTAATGTCGCGGCAATGGCGTGGGGGAGGGGGGGGGGACTTTAAAACGGGCAGAGATTTATCACGCAAGAGGGCAATAAATCTTTCAGATGGATAAACACACATGCGCATGTGACCGTAGGCATGCCGCTAAAGTATACCTCAATACATGGGGGAATTATGAGCACTTGCGGGTGGGTTTAAGAGGGGCGCACACCGAAGACCCGAGAGGACAGGAAATTGATGAGAGAAAGTGGAGAAAGGAGAAACCACTTCTGGGCAGCTGTGCAGGGAGGAGAGAAAAGGGAGCCCAGATAGGAAGTTCATTATTTATTACGGGTAAAAGTAGTGGGGGGGGGGGGGGCGATGCGTGCAACTGGCGGAGGCAGAATATGCCCGAACGCAATGTGCCCCGCCCTGCCCCGCCCCGATCCGCCAACCCCCCCCCCCTAACCTTTTCACTTATCTCCTGAAGTTATGCATACACAAAGCGAACATAAAGGCCACGGATCCCAAAAAGAGCCTCATAAATGTTATGCATTCAAGAGGCAATGCAATGCGCAATGCGAATTCAATCTACTTCGTTGGTGAAAAATCTATTATCTTCATGTAGGATATGAAGTTGGCACAAATCACTTGACTAATTTTAGAAGCGCAAAGTATTACGTAAGGAAGGGAGGAAGGAGTCAAACAAGATGAAACTTCATGAGATGAGCGAAAATGCGAATCCTTCAGCTGTGTTGAAAGGTTCTTATCCTCTCTGAAGGAAGCGATTTGAGCACTCAGACGAGTTGATTTGTTGGATCATTCTGCCCTGTCACCCATTTTACGGCCAGTATTAACCACTAGATGGGCACCGACAAGTCTTGAGTTAAAACAATTCACAACTGCCTTCTATGGCATAACCAACCACAGAATTAGGACGACGGTTTATCAAATGGTGAATATTGTTCGCGAAACTGGAACTCAAGTAATGAAAGACTATCAACAGTGCCCAATAGTGCTGGAACTGAGGTCGAGTAGAACTCTTGATCTTATGGCATCAATGTCTACATCATCATCATCTTCACTTGTCCTGTTTCTCACCAGTCCCCCTTTACTCATAGGCGTTGAAACTTGCAAGCTCATTTTGATACTGCTATGAGTACAACAATGTCCCCAAATCGCATGAAAACTCTCTCTCTTCCTCCCGAGAGAGGGAAATCTCGATTTATGAACTTCACATACTTGACATTTGTCATAGGAAAGAATGTGCGAACTAGGAAGGGACTTCCGCAAAGTAAGTTAATTTAGAAAAAGAACCGGGCTGTACTTGGCGAATAAAAAGTGGCGGTGTTTTAGATTTTGAAATATCAACCCACGGTAGCTTCAAATAGAACCCAGGAGAATATGACCATCAAAATGTCGAAACACCACGTTTAATGATCTTGAAAACATCATCTGAGCGATGAAAACACCTTAAAGAACCATAAATCAGTTAGGTTTTTTTCCAAAAAAGTGTAAGATAAGGCTTTAATCAAACGAGTCAACTTAAAACAGCTCAGCAAATGATAGATCAACGAAGTGGAGGACACGCAAGTAGTTCTAAATACTTACTTTAGCAAAAAAACCAACGTTGATCATCTGAAGAGGCAACAACCATTGAAGTAATTATCATTACATTGTCTAAAACACTTTTCGTCTAATTGCATTTCCCGCTAATGTTATCTCATTTCAAAACCGTCTTAAAGAGATTTAACAATAGCTTATCTTAAACACAGGCGCATTAGAATAAAACACAAAAGTTGAAAACACCTAATTAAATCCAGTCTTTACCTAAGTTACAAAAATACGGAAAATCTAATTACTATTGATTTAAGTGCATTCGATCGATAAACTCGATAATCGAACTCGTCTCAGTTTTCATCAAAGAAAGCCGCCATAAAAAAGCCGCAAAGACCGGTAGGTGGGGGGGGGGGGGGGGGGGGGGAGGGTGTTAATTCCGTCTAAATATTATCTCAATGGGAGTCGAAAACACACAAATTAGGGAAATTTTTTCCCCATGAGTGGAGTAGCAATGGTACCTTTAGTGATTCTAGCAGGTGGAGGAGGAGGGTGCTTCGCAACTTTCACTTTGCGCGACTCGAAGAAACGACTGACATTCGAGGCAAAATCAGATTTCGACGATTTTGGCGCCGCTCCATCTGTCAAATCGCGAAGAGGACCCACTACAGGGCTACTTTGTGCAGTGCTGAAACAGAGAAACCCAGTAACTTCTATGGAAAAAGGTGGAGACTTTCTCGCAAATAAAACAATAAAAATTCTTCCCAAGAACCAGGAGTGCAAATGCATATTTTGCCATGTACAATAGTTAAAACAAAAAAAGCGAAAATAACATTCAAACGGAGAAAATATCTTAGGCGTAAATATATTTTAAAATCAAAAAATAAGAAACAGGTAACTATTTCTGCAAAAAATATTGGAACATATATGCTTGTTCAGGACATAAATACGGGCTGAACACGACTTGGGTTGGAAAAGTCATGTTTCCAAGTTTTGAATGTTGGTTAAAAAGGCAACACTAGGCTTCCCTGGAATACATCATGTTAGGCTACTCATCTTGCGATTTAAAAAGTGCATGTCAAAATGCCCTGGTGAGAGAAGGGTGGCGCTGACTAACTTCACCACTAAAACGTTTCAATTTTTTTTAACTTCTCTTTTCTAACTCAGCTATGGCATTTCCTAAAGGGAAAATTAGGTTAATGAGGCAAACTTTTAATTAGATTAGAATGGTTGAGGAAATGTCTGCGCCAAAACACCCGCCCTTAAAAGTTGACAATTTAAACAAATAGTCAATAATACCTCGAAAACCTGAAATAGGACGTCATCGCCCTCGAACTAATATAAGCCCAGGGAAAGACAAAAGAGACTATTTTAGCGCATTTAAGACTACCCGGCACCCGTTTTCAGAAACCGGTGAGATTGAATTTATGTCAACTAGTTATCCTGACCAATTTGGAGTGATTTAAGATGCAGTTACGCCCTACTCTCGTGAGCGCAATCAGGAATCAAGGGCACGGCTCTTCCTTACATAAACAGAACACAGGAATAGTGTTTACGACTACAATTGCCTTGATGATGACAACATATATTCAAGTGGACAAGCCTGCAAAGTGGACACTTTAAGGACCAAAAAAATGTCGTGTCATGACAGTGTTGACACGATGACAGTGAAGTGGTCGTGTGACCGGTCCTCGATTGGAAGAGAGCGTGGATTAATTAGTCTATGCTTTGGCAGTTATAAATCAACTGGATATGTTGATTCTCATGCAGACGTTTTTAAAGATGTTGATTGAGAAGCGTAAGTTTTGATGAGAATAAAAAATGTCTAGAAGGTGGATTCTGGAATCTAAATCGCGCGAAATCAAGGTAAATTCTCTCATATCGGAAAAAGTTGAAAGAAATTGACATCACGGCAACAATTTTACTGCCACGTATCTTATGATTTACTAATCGAGATGCTGGCACATATATGACAGAAAACTTAGTAATAAATGCTTTAAATCAATTTGGAGAAGGAAATTCCAACTCCCACTAAAGTGCCTCTTTTGCACAAACGATAGTATCAATAAGCGACTGTTTCCGAACCGCACCAACTGAAATGAGCATGACGAATTCATCACTTGATCAATTATCGTTGAGGCTTAAATAAAAGATTAATCATTACGATTATTAAGCATATTGAAAACTCTATCTTAGTGAGAATTAAAAAAATAAAAATTTTCACATCGTCAGCATTGGACTAGTCAAATACGAACAAAAAGAACCTGCAGATCAACTCAACAAAGCTCTTCAGCTTTAAATAAGAAATTTCGGGTGAATTTCAATGCACACTGGCATATTATTTGCATATCCACATGGTCATCATCATCATCATGGTTGGAGGAGGCGAGAGGAGGTCGGGTGTGTAGTTGACAGAATGTATATCATAGTCCTCGTCTCCTTCTTGTGAATCACTGCAGATTGAAAAGAAGTTCTACTGCTACTATGCTGAATTACCGTGACTCAGAGTGTGTAGTAAGAGAATAGGATATCAACGCTGGCAAAATTAAGGCAATTGGACTTAAAAAGATGCAGAAATTAAATATTTCACGGTCTATAGGCTCGCAAAAGAGATAAATTGCCGTTAGAGAAATAACTGTAATTATGTGATTTTTTACAAGACGCATAAGGATTTCGGAAGCGATTTTGTTTAAATTCACGCTCCATAAATTCAGCCTAGTCCGAAAAAAAGATCGGAAATGAGCGGCATGTTATTTAATTGTGCTCCTTGGCCAGCGCGCATTTTTGGTTGAGCAAGCAGGTTTCCAGCACCAATAAATCTGATGAAAAATAGCTTCACCTGAGTCGAATGACTCTTCCACAATGAACGCAAAGATAAATCCAGGAAAAACTTGGTATTCAATATTAATATTAAACTGTTGATTTGACGTGTTTTTAACATATTATAGGACAAAAGGCGGGTAAAAAAGAAGCTTAAAGAGGTATTCTGACTATTTTATATTGAAAAAAATGGAATATCGATTAACAATATATCGCCACAATGCTCGTATTTGATATATATTGGATGAAAAGTAGAAGAGCAAAGACAATTGACATTAACGATTCCGGAGATATAGTCGGGCATTAATATTATTAATGCCAACTTTTACCCAAGATCCGAGACAAAATTAATTAATTTTAATTCTGGTGAGCTTATTCTTGAGTACCTTTGACTGCGCAAGGACACCACATCAGACCAAATTAATTATGAATAAATTATAAACCAAGATCGAGATTTCGCAACAAAATGACCAACACACAACTGATTTGCAAAATTGATCCGAGCTAATTGACAGATAAATAACCACTTCTTAATAGTTTCAGCATTAAAATCACAAAGAGAACATAATTTTTCAACAAAAAAAACAAACGACCTGGGGGATTTGAAGACAGGAATTAAACTCCGATGTAAAAGATTTAAAACTTGTTGAGGAAACTGCTTAAGCACTACACAAAAAATTATGACGATTTATTTATAAACACTATCTAAAGATAATATTTAATAAACGCAAGGAATAGAAGGTGCTTAAAATGAGTACCATTAAAAAGGTAAAAACTAGGCAGTCATATACAACTAGCAATCCATAGGGAAAACAAATTTGAAAAGATTGCGTATGCTGGTAAACTATCAGTTAAACAATTATCAATATTATTTCTTGAGGAGTGTTAGAGACTGCTATCGAATAGATTAGTCAGGCAAGCTCTTAGTGACTCATAGCCTTAGAAATCAGACGTATACTGACTAAAACAAAAATTGAAGAAGTAGATTGGTGTTCACCATAAAAAATCAGCTTTAAACATGAGTAGATATTTCGTCTATTTTGGCCACCTAATAAGCGTTTGGTCTAGGTTCTAATAAATTTAACTCTCGAGATTTCTCGAGAAGAAATTGAAGCCACGTGACCTATGCTCGGAAAGGAAATGAGATGGGAAATAGCATGACGTCAAACTCATGAGATTAGAGATAAGTTGTGCTGTCTGATATAAAGAAACCCAGCGAATTACTCAATCTTTATGTAGTTTAAAATAAATTCAGATTCATCAGGAGATAGTGGAAGACAAATTAACACTTAAAAGAAAATGACAAAATCGCGATAAACCGTGATAGCAGAGACCACAATTAGCTGTCAGCAAAGGAATTCTTTGTTTAAATATATCAGGTCATAAATAATGGCGCTTATTTACTCAATAGGGACTGAAGCTACTGAAGCATTATCCGTGGTAATTTAGTTGCAAATTTTGGTATTTCCTGTTGTGAATTTTTTGTAGCAAAAAATCACTTTCCCATTTTGAGGCTATTAAAAATGTTGCCAATTTTGATAGACATGAGTCACAGCGCTTGGAGGAAACCAATCCGACACTGCGACCACAAAAACTCTTTTTTTCAAGTAACACTAATTTCACTCCCTCTTCCACTAGACCAAACAGCAATGTCTAAAATAAAAGCAGAACAGAAAAGATATATATGCGTAAATCACTTTCAGACTGAAGGAAAGTAGTTTGCAGTCAGCAGACTGTAATCGCGAACCTTGCAATGACTATAATTAAACAAGACACATAATGACAAGACACTTGTCCAAACACCCATGTGCACTTGTCGATTTCTTTGAAGAGATAGATTCGTAAAGGCATGCCACTTCAGAGTAAAAAATGAATGACAGAAATATACGCGAAAAATATTTAAACATGTTAAATTCAAAAAAATTGAAGTTCCAAAAATATTAGCAAGAATGAACTATTTGGAATGAAACGCAGATTCCCCAGAGTAAATGAAAAAGTAAGAAGCTTTCAGGTTCAAAGTCCATAATTTGCAAAAAAAACACGATGGAGATGAGCAAATACAAAGTTAGAAATTTCCGATGCGTTTAAAACATCTTAATTTGAAATGACATATTTATCCCTAAATTATTAATTCGCCTAATCGAAAAAGCAAAATTAAAATAAAATAAATCAAGTTAAGTTGTAAGAGGTTAAAGAATGTTAGCTTTAAAATTAAAGACAGTAGACTACTCAGAGTGGAAATCATGACTTATAAAACCCATATGAAAAAATATCAGAGAAGGAGCGATGTCATTAATAGTTCAACCCATACTGAAAACTAATTTATTAGTTTTTCAACTTACATGGGAGTTGATGCCATGATTTTGAACAAAATTCAAAACTCAATATTCTGGTAAGGTATCTAAATAGGGAAGAAATCACGGTCAATATCATATACAATTGAATGAACATATGTAAAAACAATAAATACACAATATACTCTCTATAAAGCAAACAGCTAGAATTGAAAATAGTTGTGTAAAGTAAGCAATGTTTCCATAGATATTACGATGCAACAAGTACAAAACTTGTAAAGGCAAAATACACTCTCACAATAACCGCACAACAAAATATAAGAAAGTCAATATGAACTC